AAAAAAAAATTTTTGACATCTTTATTGGAGTATAATTGCTTTACAGTGGTGTGTTACTTTCTGCTGTATAACAAAGTGAATCAGTTATACATATACCTATGTCCCCATATCTCTTCCCTCTTGCGTTTCCCTCCCTTCCCACCCTCCCTGTTTTTTTAATTTACTTTTGTAAGTGTACAGTTCTGTGGTTTTAAGTACATTCACACTGTTCTGCAACCATCCCCACTATCCATCTCTAGAACTTTTTCATCTTCCCAAACGGAAACTCTGTACCTGTTAAACACCAGCTGCCCGTCTTCCCTTCCTTGCAGCCCCGGGCCTCCACAGCTCTCCTTTCTGTCTGTATGAAGCACACCACTCCAAGTACGTCCTATAAGGGGAATCGTGCCACATTTGTCCTTTGGTGACTGGCTTATTTCACTGAGCATCGTGTCTTCAAGGCTCATCCATGGTATAGCATGTGAGACGCTGAATTCTTAGCTTTATTTCATGTTCGTGAATTGAAATCAGAATAGCCACTCATGACTTGTGGACATGGACGATGCAGCTCGTGAAATGTGGCAGAGAAGTTGTTGACTAGAATGGGGAAGGAGAGGCCCCCGTCTGGGACGTGCAACTTCTGTCCTTCAAAGAGAGCTGAGTGCAGTACAGTCCCAATCAGGGGACTTTGGGAGTTGGGATGCAGGGGCGTCTCCAGGGCGAGGTTTGGTGCAGAGCTGAGGCTGGGGGACTCAGAGAGCTTGATGTGGGGTGGTGTGAATCGGGGGCAGCCGAGAACGCTCAGGCCAGTTTGAAAGTCGAGTGTCCAGGTGTCCTGGTGTAAAAGAGCCGCGCTTCTGTCACCACCCTATGGACTCGCCTGAAGTTCCCCCCTTGCCCTCCCTGTGTCCTCTGAAAGACCCCCCACAGGGGTGGGTTGTGGGAAGGGGCTCCCCGAGGGTCCCTGCTGCAGCCCTTGACCCTGCCCCTGGCCTGGGAATGCAGGTGGGGGGCAGGCAGGAAGCAGAGGCCTCCCAGGGGAACCTGCAGGATCAGAGTAGGGGCAGCCGGGAGCCTGGCCTCTACCAGGACCTTGATCTAGACGTTCCCAGCTATGGCCTTGGAATTCCCCGTGGTCCGTTTCAGTCACCCGTTCATCTCCTAGAAAGAGCCAAGGCTGGGAATGGAGACGATGGCCTGGATGCTGCGAGAGAGCAGCTGGAACTTAAAAATACGTTTGCACTGGACGTTAGAATGAAGCTGCTTAGAGCCAGGGCTCTGCTCTCAGCCAGACCTTAGTTTAAACCCAGAGTTGGTCGCTTACTAACCTTGGGTAAGCCTCTCAGTTTCCCTGAGCCTCTGACGCTTCATCCGGAAAAGGGAACTTGGGGGGTTTTATGAGGATGAATTCAGGCAACGTGAGTCACGTTCAATAAGCTCTCGGTAAATGTTAAAAGGGCAGAAGCGAGTATTACAGTTACTCTCAGTCTTTAACTAGCTTTATCCCCCCATTGCCTTTGCAGGCTGTAGACGGATGTGTGCTTCCTGAGCACACAGGGTGGAAGGGGTTCGGGGCTCTTCTCTGAGGCCACGGGACCCTTCTGGAGAGTCACCTCCGGCTCTCTCGTTTCAGTGCCAGCGGAAGACCCTTCCTGCTCTACGTGGGCCTGGCCCACATGCACGTGCCCCTGTCCAGGAACCTGCTGTCAGCAGAACCCGGGGGTCGAAGGCCGTACAGCGCGGCTCTCCGGGAGATGGACAGCCTCGTGGGCCAGATCAAGGACAAAGTCGACCTCACAGCTAAAAACAACACATTCCTTTGGTTTACAGGTGAAGAGTAGTAAACCCCAGCCAGCCCCACTCGGATCTAATGGATAAAACCCCACACACGCCCCACACGAGAGCAGGGTCTGGGCGAGTGACCCTCTCCAGCTGGGCAGGGGGGCTTGCCTTGAACTTGGGGCCCTGCTCGCATTCGTTGGCCTGCGTGCTGAGCACCTGTCCGTTGGTCCGTTGGAAAGGCTTTGCACAGAGAGAGCGGGTGCCCTGCTGGCCCCTTGGGTGTTGATCAGGGCCATCCGGGTATGGCTGTTAATTGTTAATGAGTGACTTTGACATTGTGGACCTCTGTAATCCTCGGGCAATTCCAAGAGTGCTTCTTTACCGTCTTCCCCCATCCCAAAGGTTGCCACCGGTCAGCAGGTCACATCTTCTGGCTGAGTGGCGCTGGACTAGTGAGCTGTTTAAAGGGCCCACACAGGCATCACTGGTCTCGGGTCCCTGTCTGGAGCGAGAGTGGTGGACACTTGGATTTGAATCTCTACTCTTGGGAAAGTTACTTTATTTATTTTTTATTTTTTATAAATTTATTTATTTATTTTTGGCTGCGTTGGGTCTTCGTTGCTACCCGCAGACTTTCTCTAGTTGCGGCGAGCGGGGGCTACTCTTCGTTGCGTGGGCTTCTCATCGCAGTTGCTTCTTTTGTTGCGGAGCACGGGCTCTAGGCACACGGGCTTCAGTAGTTGTGGCTCGCGGGCTTTAGAGCGCAGGCTCAGGAGTTGCGGCGCACGGGCTTAGTTGCTCCGCGGCATGTGGGATCTTCCCGGATCAAGGCTCGAACCCGTGTCCCCTGCATTGGCAGGCGGATTCTTAACCACTGCGCCACCTGGGGAGTGCCAGGAAAGTTACTTTAACCTCTGTAAGCCTCTCCTTCCTCATCGGCAGAATCAAGCTAACAGTGAAATCTATTCCATAGCACATTGGGGGATCAGGAGATCACGTATGTGTGCATCATAGGGGCTCAAGAAAGAGTTGCTGGGGCACTTCCCTGGTGGTGCAGAGGTTAGGTCTCCGTGCTTCCACTGCAGGGGGCACGGGTTCTATGCCTGGTCGGCGAACTAAGATTCCACATGCCATGCGGCCAAAAGAAAACCACAAAAAACAAAAGGAAAGAAAAGAAAAAGTTGCCTGGCTGAAGATAATGGCAATGGAATTGCTGAGCCCAGATCCAAAGGCAAAAGCCTCAGTGTGGGGCGAGCTCGGGGCAGGACAGCCCACCTCTCTGGAAAGCCCATCGGAGGCAGCCCCCTCTAAAAGGTCCTTCAAGGGTAGGGTTGCATTTGTTTTCACAGGTCCTTTTTCTCTCCAGTCCCCTGCTGTGCACAGGGATGTGGGAAGAGAGAGAGAGAGAGAGAGAGAGAGAGAGAGAGAGAGAGAGAGAGAGAGAGAGAGAGAGAGAGAGAGAAAGAGAGAGAGAGACGAGACAGAGAGAGAGAGAGAGACACGAGACAGAGAGAGAGAGAGAGAGAGAGAGAGAGACGAGACAGAGACCGAGGAGAGAGAGAGAGAACCGGGCAGAAGCATCCTCCAGCCTGTTGACTGCTGCGTGTTGCTTTTTTTGGTTTCTAGGAGACAATGGCCCGTGGGCTCAGAAGTGTGAGCTGGCAGGGAGCATGGGGCCCTTCACTGGATCGTGGCAAACTCGTCAAGGTAGAGGCTCACAGCTGGGGTTGGGGCATCTCCCCGCGGGTGCTGAGTCCGGGCTGGGGCATGAGATCCGGCCTCTGGGAGGACCAGTTTATAGCCGGGTCTTGGGACATCATTGTGAAATAGGGACAGATTACTCACAGCCACTAGCTCCCAGAAGAGAAACAATTTGGAGCGGAGAAAGTGCGTGTTCACCCCAGGGGGTTCCCTTTCCTTCCCTCCTAGGGCGTCGGCCCGCTGACAGGCAGCCCAGCAAGTATGCTTTGCCTCTACCCTCACCCTCATGTCCTCAATCTTCCTCCTTGCTTTCTTTTCTTTCCTTTTTTAAAAGTCATCCCTCCACCCATCCAAACACTAATTCATTTCATTCATTCAAGAAATATTTCGTGCACAACTATGCAAGGTTTCTGTATGCATTAGCTCTAAACCTTAGTGAAAGGCAGGTAGTAATCACTCCACTTACAGCTGAAGAATGAGAGAGGCTAAGTAACTTGCCTAGAGTCACACAGTTTGGGAGGACGGGGCCAGGCTTGCTACCAAGTTAAAGCTGGTGATCTTCCCACTACACCGTACTGCCTCTCTTTATGTAAACACCCGTCAGCCCTCAGCTCAGCGCCCATCTGCTGGGAAGGTTGCCCCAAAAGGACCTCACTCTCTGAAAGAGCAGTCGTGCTGGGGACAATTCGGCAGTATGGACCAAAGTCTTGAAAAATATGCATGCTGGGCGATGCATTAATTCCTCTTTTAAAGAATTTGTCTTCAAGAAATAATAAGCCAAGTGCACAATGACGTATGTAAAAGAACGCTCGTTGCAGTAGGTTTTTCTTGAGAAAAATAGTTAGACGTAACCCAAGTGTCCAGCAAGAGAGGAGTGCTCAAAGAAATTATGATACATGCATTTAAAGAAACACTAAGGAGCCACTGAAAATGGTGCATATGACTGACCTGGAAACAGTTACATTAAATATTTTTCAGTGAGTAAATCAGGTCACAAAACCATATGTAAAGTACGATTTTATTGTATAAAACTAAGTGCATGTATTCTCAGAAAAATCTTGAGAGAGGCAACAAAAGGTACTGATAACAAAAGATTAGCAGTGATTACCTCTGGGTAGGGGAGGAAGGGTTTAAGTGTAGTTATTCCCACTTTTTTTTTTTTTTTTTTTTTTACCAATTAAAAATTTTTTTAATTAATTTTTTTAATGAAAAACTTAAAATAAAAATTTCAGAAGGTGCTTGTATCCGAGGGGTGCAGAGGTGGACTTGGCAAGATTATGCCTTGGGGCTGGGTTTGCCATGCTGTCTGGCTGGCTTCTGACCTGCGGCCCCAGCTGTGTCCAAGTCGGAGGACACGAGTTCCCTTTCAGATGACTGGCAGAATATTCGTAGTTACCTAGAAGCTAGAATTTTCGTGTGTCCCAAGGCTAGCTGTGAGAAGGAAGTGCTTTACCCTGGCGTCCCTTGGATCAGATCCCTTGAGAACTTTACAGGTGAGTGGCTGCTGAGCTGTGACCACATCATCTCGTGTGTGGACATATGTGGTGGAAGTCAGGGAAACTGGGTGCTGCCCAGTGACCAGACCACTTCATCCATCCCTCTGGGGGGTGGCGTTCCTCTGTGCATGGATCTCTTTGGCCCATCCAGTTCGTTCAAGAGCGCTGTAATTTAGTTCTCGTTCCTGGAGAGCTGCACCAGGAAAAGATGCTAGGACCCAAAGTGGTGGCTGCAGCCACAGCCTAGAGAAATACAGTGCCAACTGGGAGTGGTTTTTTTGCATTCGCTGATGATAATTCCTCCTCTCTGTACCTGGGGTACCCTCGGGCCAGGCTGCCGTCTTCAACGCTCAGTTACAAGAGCCTGGAATCATTTTTACTCTCAAGAGTAAAAGCCCTGAAGGCACAGAGACCAAGGTTGAGGGATAAAAATCTGTCCGTAAGAGGCCCCTCTGTGGGGATCTTTCTGTTTCCTAAGAAGACGACCTCTGATCTCCTATCTGAGGACCTGCCTTATCTTTTCTCTTCTCCCCCTTAGGAGGCAGTTTTAAAATAGTGAACCAGTTTACGGGTGTGGACTGTAGCCCATTCTTTGAGGGGAGGACTTTATGAGAAACACATGTATCAGCAGAGCGTAGCCTCCTTTCCTTCTATTTCCTTCTACTTGTTGAGCACCTACTATGTGCCAGGAACTGTGCTCAGTGCTGGGGACACAAAGATCAACAAAGCCCCGGCTTTAAAGAATGACGGTCTAGAGCAGTGTTTCTCAGACTTTAACGTGTAGATGGTCCCCTGGGGATCCTGCACCCAGTAGGTCTGGCTTGGTGATGGAGATGTTGCATTTCTAACCAGCTCCTAGGTGATGCTGATGCAGCTGGTCCAGGGACCACTCTGAGAGCCAGCAATTTGGGATATCCACATCTAGCGCCCTTCGAGTCTAGAACTGTCAGATCTAGACCAGTGGGTTATCAGGTGAGGTCCCAGGACCAGCGACATCAATACCACCTGAGAACTTGTTAGCAATGCAGATTCTAGGGCCTCACCCCAGACCTACTGAATCCGAAACAAAGTTGGGGATGGTGTGGACAAAAAGGAGCACAAGTTGGTGCAGCCACTGTGGGAAACGGTATGCACAGTCCTCCAAAGATTAAAAGTAGCGCTACCACGCAATCCAGCAATCCCACTGTTTAGCTGAAGAAAATGAAAATACGAATTCCAAAAGATATATGCACCCCTATGTTCATTGCAGCATTATTTACAATAGCCAAAATATGGAAGTGACCTAAGTGTCCATCGATAGATGAATGGATAAAGAACACGTGGTGTATGTATATATAGACATTTCTATTGAGTCAAAGATGATAAATAAAGGGGAGCGAGTGACAGTCTGCAGGAATCTCCCCGCATTCAAACAGTGCCAGGGAGGCCTCAGCGAGCTCTACTCCAACTGTCTTGTTGGCCAAAGAGGGATCTGAGGCTGAGCGGGGCAGAGGGCTTCCCCGGGGCCAGCCATCGACTGAGGGGCCACACGCTCTGACCACCACCCGGCTCATTCCTCAACCCACATTTTCACTGTTCTTACGCCCTGTTACACCCGACTGACTGCCCAGCTGTCTGCAACGTCCTGTCTTACTTCTCTGCCCCCTCCATGGTTGTCAGGGAGAACCTCGTTAGCCCCTGTGACAGGGGCTCCCTTATGGGAGGCAGAGTGGAGAGATGGAGAGAGGGTTTCGGAGGCGTGATTCTCGACTCAGCTCAGGACCTGGTGCCTGGCGGCCCCTTCCAGCCCTGCGTCCTCCCCAGTAAGGGCAGTGGAGACCCGCCTCGCAGGACGGCGCAGGGCCAACTGGGACGCTGGCCGGGAGGTGCCTGGCCTCTACTACCCCCATACAACTCCATCTCTTCACTCCCAGCCGAAACAAACTGGGGTGGGGGAGGGTTCCCACAAAGAGAGTAATTGGAAGAAATGAGCTGAGAAGGGTTTTCCTGCCCAAGTACACAGGCACCTTAAGCAGCATGAGGGCCACTTCCCAAGAGTTCTGGGCCGCTGGTTTGGAAACTGCTCCGAGGCCGGACTTCCTTCGTGTCAAGACAACACCCTTTGTGGGGGGCAGGGCCTTGCACAAACGTTGTGTCTGGATGTGGTATCTGTGGGACACAGCACTTGCATTTGTGGGGGGACTGGATCTGGTTACCTTTTTCTTTTCCCAGGAGATCTGGAGACGCACTTTGCGGAGGGGTAAACACTTCCCCTTCCTCAGTCTCCAAGCTGGCTTCCCGTCAACCTCTCCTCGCTGCCCAGGCCACTGCTGGGGGCTCTGGGAAGGCGGGCAGAGCCCTGGGTGGCAGGGGCATGGCCAGGGGACCCGGGTCACGGGGGAGGGGCTGGGGGGTCCCTCTGGGCCACCTGCTCTTCTTTGAGCAGGTTCCTTGTCAGTGGGATGCCTGTGTATCCTGCTGTAAACGGGGCCAGTCTCGGGAGCTGGTGAAAGAGAGAAGGCAGTCAGTGTTTTTGCGATGGAGCAGGACAAACAGTGCCCAGAGCCCTGCTGCTTTCTCCCCACAGCCGGCCCAGCGCATCAGGCCACACGCTGCCTCCCCTGTTCCCAGGGCCCCTGGGCTGCCCCCCACCCCTTTCCTGGCTGAGCCACTCTGCTCAGCTGATGTGATGAGGCAGCGTCTCCTGCAGTCATCCCTTCATCCCGTGCTGGAGTGAGGGTGCTCCACCGGGCTTGGCCTGCGTCCTGTAGGGGTGAGGAGAGACCGAACCGGGGGCCAGGGGGCACAGCAGGGCCGCTGCCGAACCCCAAGCCCGCGGCCCCCCTGGTTGCCAGCTGCCGGCCTCCCTTCCCTGCTCCAGACCTATTTCCTCTCCGGGACAGAACCAACACCTTGTTTGTCCCCTAACTGACGGCTCCTCTGTCTGGAAAATCTTTTCTTGCTTTATTTGAAGAACAGAACTGTTCCTTCCTCCCCCCCTGGTGATGAGGAAACATGCTGTTGAATTTGGCATCCTTGGCTTCTAGGAGACCTTGGTTGTAACTTGATGCTATCAGGTGGTTACATAACCTTTCCCACTGGGAAGCGTGCTCTACATCCTGGGCCTTCTGTCCATTTGGGGCAGGGGGTGGGACCGAGAGGGGTCCAGGTTCCTTGTCAGTGGGATGCCTGTGTATCCTGCTGTAAACGGGGCCAGTCTCGGGAGCTGGTGAAAGAGAGAAGGCAGTCAGTGTTTTTGCGATGGAGCAGGACAAACAGTGCCCAGAGCCCTGCTGCTTTCTCCCCACAGCCGGCCCAGCGCATCAGGCCACACGCTGCCTCCCCTGTTCCCAGGGCCCCTGGGCTGCCCCCCACCCCTTTCCTGGCTGAGCCACTCTGCTCAGCTGATGTGATGAGGCAGCGTCTCCTGCAGTCATCCCTTCATCCCGTGCTGGAGTGAGGGTGCTCCACCGGGCTTGGCCTGCGTCCTGTAGGGGTGAGGAGAGACCGAACCGGGGGCCAGGGGGCACAGCAGGGCCGCTGCCGAACCCCAAGCCCGCGGCCCCCCTGGTTGCCAGCTGCCGGCCTCCCTTCCCTGCTCCAGACCTATTTCCTCTCCGGGACAGAACCAACACCTTGTTTGTCCCCTAACTGACGGCTCCTCTGTCTGGAAAATCTTTTCTTGCTTTATTTGAAGAACAGAACTGTTCCTTCCTCCCCCCCTGGTGATGAGGAAACATGCTGTTGAATTTGGCATCCTTGGCTTCTAGGAGACCTTGGTTGTAACTTGATGCTATCAGGTGGTTACATAACCTTTCCCACTGGGAAGCGTGCTCTACATCCTGGGCCTTCTGTCCATTTGGGGCAGGGGGTGGGACGGAGAGGGGTCGGGGTTGGGGGGGACTGGGGGAGGGAGTGAGGGGCGAGGGAGGGGCTCTTGGCCCCGGCTGGGGGCAGGGCCAGCTACTGGGGACCCAGTGGAAGTCAAATGATGTCCCCTGCCGGGCTTGGAAGTCCCCATGCCCACACTCACGGCCGCCCCAGGGCAGCCAGGGTCCTTTGCCCCAACAGAGGCCTGGCTGCCCTGTGTTTCTAGAAAACTAGTGTGTGCGCTCCGGGCAGCCTTGACAGAGGCATGTATTTATATTTAGAAATGAAGCCTCTGCTTCTTTAGAAGGTTATAGAGCGTGTGCTCCTCAGAACACGCATGTTCTATCCGAGTCACAAATGTAAATGCCTTGAGGGGCCAGGCAGGTAGTATAAATGAACAACTGTTTGTTTGTGTCCATTGTGGCCAGCATTAGGGACTCGGTAAATCAGATCGAGGGCTCTGACTGACAACATTCAAATTTAGTTTAAAAAGAAATATGACTCGTGCCAAACCAAACTGTCAGGGGGCTGAATTCAGTGTATGTTTTGCCAGGTTGCAGCTTCTGCTATTTTCTCTCTGTAGGTAGTTTTGTTTTGTTTCTGTTTTGCTTGGAGTTTCTTTGGATGGCATTTATTGGGCGCTTCCGTGGCAGGCGCTACGCCAAAGGACCTTGCTTGGAGCTTTATATACATTATCTTGCGTAACTTTTCCACCATCCCATGAGATCAGTACAGTCATTTCCCCCTTCACAGCTGAGGAGGTGGACGTGCAGTGACAGTAAGAATCCTGCTCAAGGCCTCACCGTGGGAGGCGTCGTCCCGTTTACCTTATTAATTCTTCTCAACTTCTGGTCCTCAGAGACTGGTGTCAGGATGACTTGGACACAGACCCCACCCAAGACTTACTAAACCAGCATCTCTGGGTGTCCTTCTGGCGGCTCCATGTACTAAGAAGTTTGCCAACCTGTGTATTAGCCACACTGCCTTTCTGACTCAGGCAAGCATCGCATTTGGGTCCTTTCTGGGAAGGACCCCGTTCCTAAGCGTAGGTCGTGGTGAGCCTTCCTCAGGCTGCCCTTTCCTCCATGCATCATGGAGTGGCATTTTCCTCTGCAGCCAGGGAAAAACAAGCAAGCAGTTTCATGAATCACGGTTCTGTTTATATTTTGGTTGCTGAGGCTAAATATTTATGGCTTTAAGTAAGAGGTTCTGCCTTAATTAGAGTCATAACTAACCGCAAGTGCACTGAAATGCGTTTTCATGACCATCAGACTTGCGTTTCTCAACAGAAAGCCAAACGCGATGGACCCTTTTGATGTGCCAGTGCCTCTGATCAAAGTATGAAGGTTGCTCTCAACTAACGAGCAGCTTTTGAAATTAAAAAGTGCCTGTTTGGCTTTGTGGACTTAGCTATTGTTCTTACTCACTATAACACGGAGGGTCACATTCACACTCCGGTGGCGTAAAGTTATAAAGCTGTGGGCCGTATAAAACCTGTCATTAAAAAGCACATAAGCTACAATTAGCTTCAAAATGCATTGTGTCCACTTTCTGACTCTGCTCCTTGCTCTCTTCACCCTCGGCCTGGAACGGGCGCCCTCTACATTAACTCACCAGGAGAGCTTTACAAGGTACTGGTATCCAGGCCCCACCCCCGGCCAATTTAAATCACAGTTCTCTGGGAAAGGGACCTTGGCATGGGTATTTCTTAAAAGCTAGTGATTCGAATATGCATTCGGGTATGGGAGCCACTGTCCTAAAAAGTCCTAGAAGGTTTAATGGCTGAGGGTGCTGGCTGTGTGGTTAGACTTGGATTCAAATCCTGACTCTAGTGTTTCTTTGCTGTGTGACCTTGGGCAAATTACTTAACCTCTCTGAGCTTCAACCTCCTCATCTGAAGAACGAGGATAACAGGGCTTAGCTCACAAAGTTGTCCTGAGGATTAAGGGAGATGATGCCAGGAAGCACTTAGCATTATAGGTAGGTGCGCTTAGCTTGGTGCTTAGGAAGGGCTCAATCAATAGGAGAAGTTATTGTTACTGTTACTATTGTGGTTAACGGAGGATGGGTTTCCATCAGTAGGAGCAGGTATCACTGGAGAACATCAGGGGACCAGGGCCAGCTGCTGTGGGTTTCAGTGTTTGCTGGTGCAGATGAACCACAACACTGTTAGATGTTTCTGATAATCAGATGCTTGGTTATCAGGCATCCACCCTGGGGACCCACAGAGAATGCTGGTCGGATCTTTTAAAGTTGGCCCACCCCTAGCAGTGCCGATGAGATACTGGAATTTGGAGTGAGAAGGTGTCCACGCTCTGGGGGATATATTTTTTATAATTGCTTACCCACACTCTGGACTCTTTTAAGATAAATTCCTTTTGAATACAAGGCTTGTGGGCATGGCTGGAATATATAATTGTGTCTTTCTGGTAAAGCCAGAACCCAGGGTACAGCCAGGTACCAGCTGGCCAGTCTTGACAACATAGAGGAGGGATTGCTCTCTGCACCCCAAGTGTCCACACCAAGCCGCTTCTCTCAGCCAACATTTTCCTCTCTTTGTCCCAGTTCCTGATTCTCTGCAGGGCACTGTCCACTCTGTTGACGTATACATGTTTTATAACTGGCCGAATTCCTTCTAACCTCTCCAGCTTTCAACTCTCTGCTGAAGTAAGGCAAACGCATTGACATATTTTTCTCTGAAAACGAATTAGGAAAGTTAATCGTCTGAAAAAGAACAGTACAAAAAAGATTATGGCAAATGAGCAGAACCCCTAGTGGTGAAGACCAATTAGCAGATTTATTAATTAGGGGCTAGTGCACCCTTCTGGAAACACCCTGGAGGCGGAAACGCAATCCTGGTGCCGACTCTGTACTCTGGCGCCTGTGGCCCTAACACAGTGCAAGCCCCTGGCTTGGGCCTTCCGGTCGACCCTCAGAACCATTGGCTTGTTTCTTCGAATTGAAACCTTCGCTTTCCCTTAGCATCTGGCCTCAAAGGCTGAGCAAGTTCGTTTGAATTTTGTGCTCCGTGGACTTGCAAATAAATGGACTCCGTATTTTCACCCACCTATTCCCCAAGCTTCCATAGAAACGCCCCTCGTGGGTGGTGGTGGGGATTATCTGCAGAGTTTCCGCACGTGCGATGTTAGATGCTCCCTCCCGCTCCTTGGCCTTCAGCTGGAGTATAAGTCATGCATTCCAAGGCTACGTGGGAGTGCGATTTATGCTCGCTGTAGCTCTGGAGTCTCTGTTCCATATGCGTGAATAATTGGGAGCGGGCTCTAGGTATTTATGGCCGGCGTGGCTCTGGACCGGAAGAAGGTATGTGAGACATCTTGGGCCAAGTCAAAGAGTTTCCCCTTCGGTCCCCCACACAACTCCACTTGGTTCCGAGAGCCCCACCCCTAAACATAAACGGTCCATAGACATGAGTTGTTTTGTGTATCGTTTCTGACTTCAACCCTTGGGGGGACTCCAAAGCTGGTTAAGAAAATTCCCCAAAAATGCCGAGCATTTCTGGTGTCAAAGGTTCCATTTGCTGCAGGGTGAGTGCAAAGTGACAGCAGCCTCGGTCCTCTCGCCCCCTCCCTCCCCATCGTTGTTCTCGCCAGCCAGACATAAGGATGTTGCATGACCATGGTATGTGTGAGACACACACAGCGTTTGCCTTGGAAAGGCTCTCTACACGCTAACCGTGTGGAATTCCTGGCTCAGCTGGGATGAGGTCGGGGTGTGTGTGGGAGGGATGGGCATGGTCATGGTTATTTCAACGCAACACGTACTCAGGATGTTTCCATAAGGCATGACCTCATCCCTTCCAGCCTGCTGGTCATCGTTACACTGGTGGTCACTTTTGACTTGGTGGTTACAAAAATAATTCCTTTAATTACCCAGTGGAAATTCGTAGATTGCACGGAGATTGTTCTTACCGCCCCCTGAGAGGTAAGAGGTCGGAGCTACCACGACATCGGAA